TCAAACTGCCTCTGAACCGGACCAAACCGGACCGCGGCAGCACTAACCATAATGCATCACTGGGAATGCTAATGGACATAGTTGATGCATTTCTTGTGTCTGGTAATTGCCAGACATGATGCATCATCCCTACAGAGAATGGTGCATTGGTGATGTTCTGGCCCGGCTTGGGCTCAAAGCCCCAGCTTAGGCTCGGCCTGAGGGGGGCTTAGGCTCACCAAATTTCAAGCCTGAGCCGTGAGCCCAAGTATAACCAGTAGTACTTGATTTATGCACTACATACTAGTATATACTGTTCTGATTTACTCCTCCTGCATACTATTGGGTGACTTCCCGTAGGCAAAAATAATGTAGAATAGAATATAATTTCACATATTAGGAAGGTGTGCCGCGATGCCGGGTGACATTTCGTCACCGTTTGAAATCCATCAAGGGTCTACCCCCCCCCCCCCCCAATAAACCTTAAATCTGTAGGGGGGGGGGGGGGTACCCCCCCCTACAGATTATTCTAACGGGAATAAACTCAAACTTGCCTTTTCAGGATCACTCACACCAGCGATATCCGCTGACATAATCTTACCTTCTGTTGTCCGCCGTTTGATACCACTGCTCCAGCACCGTTTCATACTTCACGGTTCCCTTGTACACATTGGCAACTACTGTGTGCCTGTACAGAGTTGTACAAGTTTGTACAAACTTGTATAGGCTCACAGAACTTGCATACTTACTTTCTTTCTATATAGGCACTATTTTGGCTGCTTTGTGACGAGCCAAATGTTTAAGCCTCACACTAGCGCTCGCTGCTCGCCGCCCACCAAGGGACAACGGTGCCTCCCTACATTTCAACATCAATGTACGATGGACAACTGTCCAATCCAAAAGTCCCCCCAGAATTTTTCACTAGTGCTTGCGGACTGCGGTACCTACTTAATTTGCCACATCAACAGACAACGGACAACTGGCGTCCAATCCGAAAGTGCCCTCGAGAAAATTTCACCAACACTCGTCAAGGGAATGTGGCGCCTCCTTATTTTGCTATATCAACATATGACGGACAACTCGCATCCAGAAATTTTCGATGGCCGGCGGCTGTCAGACTCCTGGCATATAAAGAAATGCTTTTTGAGGAGTACAAAGTGAGCATTCGTTGATTTGGGTCCTTTCTCTCACTAACACTACACTCCGAAACTGAAGTTCTATACTCATGGTTGACTTACACTATGACGGCGCCGGCAATGCATACACTCGCGACTGAACCGGGACATGGCAACCACACCCTGGGATTGCACAGACTGTTGCATGCTGTCCATCACATGTCTCGCAGTCTGCTCCACCTGCTCCACTCACTCCGAGGATGAATGAAACTTGCTCTCAAAGTTATCAGGTATGTTCCACTTTATCTAGCTCATATCTTCGACTGATTATGTGACAGCCCCGGTATGCCCTCAATACCCCAGCCACATTCCCTACCCAGCATCAGCACCATCCTTCTCCTTCACCTCAGTATGAATTCGACAACAATTTCATTGATCCTGCCCTCCGTCCACTTCCTGACGGCGTTGATCTGGACTTGACTGACCCAGTTGTCATTGCTGAGGCACGTGGCTATGCTGCTGCCTCTAAAACAGCTGGGGCTCGTCGCAAAGTCCACACCACCCAAACCAAGGGCAAGGAAAACTCAGGAGTGCGAGCCACTAAGCGTGCCCATGAGACCATGGCTGATGATGATGAGGGTGGCACCAGGATCAAGCGTGGACGCCCATCAGGTTCTAATAATTATACTACTGCTGACACTAAGGCACTTCTCGACTTCGTCGAAAATGAACTGCCGCTTGGTCAGCGAGGCTGGCAGGCAGTACATGCGAAGTTCTCAGAGTGGGCGAAAGAACTGGGACGTCCGGTCCGCAAAGCCAGCTCCCTTGAAACCAAATTTAAACAGGTAAGATCCTACCCTCTGCTCATTCAATTACTTTCGACTGACCTCTCCTTAGCTCGTTAAGACTACCAAACCTACTGGAGATGGTGTTTGCCCTCCTGATGTCACCCGTGCACACCAAATCGAAGCACTTATCAATGAACGAGCAGGCACACGTGATCTCAATGATGTAGACTATGATGACAACCCTCACGACGATACTCGCTCTGTCTCTTCCGGTCCAGACGAGCCACAACATGTGGCTGTTACGAAGGCCATGCACACAGAAGCTCCTGTTCCACGACGCAATGCACGTGGTGCTGCCGCTGCAGAGTTGCTAACTCGTCTCTCAGGTGCATTTGATCCTGTTGCACAGCGAGCTCGTGATGGAGAACGAGCAGATCGTAATCTTGCCAATACTCAGCTGATGGCACAGGCCCAGCAGTTGCGAGATGCACAGACCAGAATCGATACACTTCATGCACAAGTGTTTGATTTGCGTAGTAAGTTATACGATTCTCAACGTGCCTGTGATATGGCAGAACTACGTGTTGAGATGATGCAGTCTCAGACATCAGGATCTGGCAGTCGGCACCATAGGAAGATTCGTTCTCCACCTCCAAAAAGAAAGTCCTTGATGCACGAATATTACCCAGATGGAGGCCAATCAATCAGATGGTTAACGGACGAAGAATTCGCACCATATGATGATTCATCTGTCGAAGAAGACTCACATGTTGGAGGCCCATCATGTGTCGGAAGGGAAGCTAGACAACGCATGTCTGCATCTCGTCGTCTGGCTATGCAATGTTCGCAAGCAGCGAAGGACACTATTGTGGATGATGAGTCCGCCAGTGTCATGTACAGTAAGGGTACTAAGGAAGGTACCCCAGAGGTTTAAAGGTCATTTGTTTAGACGGTTACATTTCTTCATTTTACTTTCGAGTCTATCTCTTGTGTTCTCTTAGCTTTTAATTGACTTGACTGTGCAAGTCTTTGATTTGTTGTGTTTCATTCGATATGGTCTTACAAGTCTTTCATACATCATAGCTGTTCATACATCCCCCGTTTCGTTCCATTCTCCAAAGCCAGTAGTTAGTATTCACTGGTACTCTAATGTTACATGAAATCTAGTGACCCGGTCTTTCTGCCGTTGCTCCGAAAATAGCATATTTTCAAAATCATGCCAGACCTCCATGTCTTCGTCAGTTGCTTGCCAATGATTCATATACACAGTACGTATTTGATTGATGCCCACCTTCTTCAAACGCAGGTTATGTAGACGAACACATATTTCAATAAGGTCACCTCGAGCCTCTTTGTCTGATATATCAAGTGGAACACGGAGACGGCCAAATGCACCTTGGAGGCTTCGCATACCCCACTCAGCTGTCTGTCGGTATGAAAGTAATTCCCGATTGAATGCCATGCGTTCTTCTATGTCTGCAGCGGAGCCTCGCAAAGTTTGACCCTGTTTGAGAGGTGCGCAAATACGACCATTGATATCATTGCTTCCACGCGGGAAGGCAGTGTCAGCCACGATATAGTAGCCTGCAGGAGTGTGATCTCGAAGGGCCGCATAAATTTCCTTCGCAACACGAGAGTCATGCCAGCTCCCTGGCGCATTTGTCCTGGCTGCTATGATTATGCCTGAGATACATGTCATTAGTAGCAGTAATTTGTTTAAAGACCAACGAGGCTTACCTTGAGATGAAAACACGAGAACTGAACTGATAAAATGCTCTGACAACCAGCCATTGAATGTGGCATTTTCAATATCAATGTCATCCGACGTTTGCACAGGAAGTTTCAAGCCGTCTATGCTACCAAAGGCCCCCTGAAGTCGTGCATGACGTGCCACCACAAGAGTGTTGCATTCCCTGAACTCGTCTCCTTGCAACCAATGGACCTTGGCATCAACCATGTTGCGCAGAGTGAGGAGGAGTATGTGCAGGCCAAATGAAAGGTACCGTGATACTGTTGTTGGGATGAGCGCAAAAATCTGTTGCAGACTAATTTGATGCATTGTTGAGTTTAGGTAGTGTAATACGAGGCCAAGGGCACCTCCAGCATCAAGAGATCGTCGTTCGACGCGAGGATTAGCATGCTGACTGATGTCGTCATGAGGAATGGGTGTATGGTACCAATGGTTTGCGAAGCCGGAGGTGAGTATGAAGGTGAATGTCTCCACATCGAAGCCCATGGTCATAATGAAGGCTCGGTCGTTCTGGCTCGCAAATAAAGCTTGCCATGGGGTACTCATCCGTGGATTTGGAAGGAGCTGCGCACGGCAAAGGTATTGTCGTCGTGGTTGACGTCTGTCAATGCGGTCTTGTCGAGTCAGCTCAGTTCCCACCAGTACAGTAGCTGCAACAATGAGTGCAGATTCTTCGTCATCGATTACTTCTGTCTCTATCTCGTTTTGCAATGCTTGATATTGATATAAAATATCATCCATGATATTCCGTTGGCCTATGGTTTGGTTTTTCGTACAGAATATCTGATTGCTTAACTTGGAAAATGTTTTTCAAAGTCTGGTATATGATAATCCGCATTATTTTGCCTATGGGAAGTCACCCATTGTTTCAATATTTACCAGTGCTATTCTTGTGACACTTGTGATGTCTGTGATGTCTGTGAGACCTTGTGTGGATCTGTGTGCACTTGTGACTCGTGTGAAATCTGTCGCCAAATTAGTATTTAATGTATACTTCTGCAAGTCGTCTGCAGAAAATCGTATGTGAGATGACATCAGAATTCCTCAGAATGATCTCGGTATGTACTAATATTGCATGTCGTTCTATCACCTTCACATTCGCAAATCCGGGTCAGTATAATGAGTTCTTGCTATAATCAAATTATATACGCTATATATACAAGCACAAAGGAGCCGCGTAGCGGTAATCACTTGTAGACTATACATTGATATTGCCCCGTAAATGGACTCGTAGGCCGCTCACTTAGGATTCATTCTTTTTCTGCACTCTAATGTGAACGAACCGCATGAAAATGTACATTGCGGCACCGGCCAGTGCAGCGATCTGTGATTTATTAGTAATCAAAGTGTATAGAGAAGCGGCAATCGCAGTCGACTCACCCCAGAGAACAAAGCGGGTCTCCACCAGATATAATTTGATGTAAGTAGGGCACCAGAAATGGGTGTTCCTAGGTAAACATTTATAAGGTGAAGCAAGAAGTGCTACAAATGCACCTACCAATTAAACTTCCGAATCCTGTAGAATGAACGCGTGCGAGTTCAAAATAATATACAAGCAAATCTGATCCTAGCACTCACCGCCAAGAAAGAAACTGATACCCATCCACCCGCTGTGACCAGATAAGATCATTCGCACATACTGAAGCTCGAGTTATCACTCACCCAAGCTCAGAGGGGTTGTGCGTTAGGGTAGCCATAAGTGGACTCAATAACGCAGTGTCTACATGACCGATTAACACCTTCAACTGCGTAGTAAATCGGAAAGAATACTTACACACCCCTTGAAAATAGCCAAAAAGCACAGCAATGATAACGACGCTGGCCAGGCTACTCAATCCAATAGTGCCCAAAAGTATCAATCCGCACGAAATTGCCGAAATCACGGTCAAGTTGAGGACTCCTATATACCCTGCGATATACCCTGCTGAAACTCGTCCCACAGAGCTGGACGCATTTAAAATCACAAGCTGGTGATTGAATCAGCAAAAAGACCACTTGTATAATGCTAGAACCCACAGAGTAAGATGAAAAGGTGATGCCAATACCGTGTTGGGTAGCATCGAGTTGAAGAAAAAATGTCGGGTAGTAGAAGCCAATCTGGAAAAGAAACGCCCTGCATAACGAATGATTATTTTCGAAAATTCGAGAGATGCTGTATTGCAGGTCTTACCCTACTGTCGCGAAAAAGAACGGAACATCACGAAGACACTTTCTAGCTGCCACGATATAGTTCACTGGTGTCGTCGGCGGATCAAGGCGAGTTCGCATACACAAGCATGCAATCAAAAGGAGCGCGCTAACTAACCCTGCACTTGCACGTACGCCATTGGCAAACCCAAGGCGCCCATTCAGGAGATTATTAAGCATAATCGGGTGGATGATAGCACCCAGCGATGAGCCCATAGTAAGGAATGCCATCACCAGTGTGCGTTTCCGTCTGAAATAATGCGAGACGATGGCCAGGCTCGGGATGTACAGCAACCCCAATGCGATACCTGAGCCTAAGCCTTGAGTAAGGAATATCTATTATGATGTTAGAAACAAAAAGGTCAGAAAGCCGGAGGACGTCACCTGATAGTACTGATTGGGCTTCGCCAATGACAGCATGAAAAGAGAGAAACTCTGCAGCAGCGACCCGGCAACGACAAGATGGTGACTAGGTAGTAGGCCTGCTGAGCACCGTCTCCGAGACATTGGCATGCACACTCACAAATAACCTCGATCGTATAGTGTGCCTGATACAAGGCTCACAGAGGTGCCTAAAAATGTATTGAAGCTCCCAATGAATCTGCAAGAGACCATGAGGATACTCACAATAGAGAAGCCTATAGAACTCACGAAATAGCAAATGATGTCTCATTTGCGAGATAATTTCCAGTATAGAAGGCTAGAAGGCAAGCCGCTTAAACAAAGTTTCCTCACTTTCATGGGCAGCAATACCTTGGTATACACCAAATGATGCGATGTAACTTGGAAGCTTCAGAGCGCCATCCTTCATCAATGATAAAGCGCAACACTCACCCCCAACTGCAGAACAATATGAGAAACCTAAGTCAATCAAGTAAGAGCCAGCACCACTAGAAATTTGTCTCCTTACGATCCAAAAGCAGTAGACCAAGCGGCAAGACCACCTTCTGGAAACTCTTGCAAGACCAAAGACAGGTCGGAGTCCTTAGAGACTGAGTATTCAACTCCCAGCTCCTCTGACCCCCCTTTGTGCTCCTGTGCAGTCCAGAGTTCCGGAACAAGTGTTTCAGGTTTGGTTTCGACTGCCATCGATGTAACGGTTGACTTGCACACACGATGAAACTAAAGTTTGATCCTTTTATCTATCCTTGATGACAAAAAATAAATGAGGGAAGTTTGGAACAAGTACAGAGGCATCGAGACGGTTACCGTAGTACGTGGCTAATAATATTATTCCAGTGTTCCATTTCATTCATAGCCATGAAACCGTCGCTTATATCCTCCTAGTTGATCATTTCAGGAAGCTTGTTGAAGCCTGCAAAAAGATGGATACAAATCATTTGTTCAATCACCGTTAGCCTCGGAATCTTGCACCATCCAATGATCATCGACGACCAATTGGATTATCTGTGAATATAATATGAAGCTGTGCCAGATGATCAATGATCAATGATACAAAACAAAAAAACAGTAGCACGGCGCTGTGGAGATCGCCTGATATGATATGACGGTAGCGAGCGAAGCAAGCAAAGAGACTGATAGATGCATACTGAAGTCCTCTCGGTATAAAAATCTGATTTTTTTTACAAGGGGGCCAGGACTTTGTTCCAAAGTAGTGACGCCCACCATAGGTAAATAACGCACTGCGAATCGGTGTAGCATGGGACCAGCTGCGGAAAGGGCCATGGAGTCTCCGAATGCGCAGTCCCCGCCGGTGCTAGAAGCACATGGAAGTCTGTGCACCGATTGTTTCATCATGTACGTACTGTACTGCGGACCGGGAGTAACATGTGACGCAGAAATGCTTATATGCTAGACGGCAGAGTCCAGCGGTGGATGGTGCAGCCGGGTGTTTGCCACCATTTGCGTAACTTAGTCAGTAGGGATAGAGCCCTCGGGTGTTGTCGTAAGTAGCATAATCATTAGGTTGAGGCCACACCAGCTTCCAGAGGCAGGCACACTGCCAGCCGTGCCAGTCCAACGGTTCAACGACTGATGGCATCCGCTGCGCACACGATCCACTGATGAAGATGTCATCAATTTTACATAAGTGAAAAAATTAACATCAGGCCGCAAATAGCAATGGCAAAACTTGGTACTCCAGATGTGCATCCAGAAGAGGTTTCGAGATCGGACTGGTTGGACGCTGAGAGTGTTGGGTGAATGTCAATTGTTTGGTCATACTGCCATTGGCCTTATTTTTCAAAGTCCGCTGTGTAGTAACTGACATTTTCAACCGACGAACATCACAATCTACGCGTCCCTTTCCGAACTTCAAGCTTCAGGCCATGAATGTGTGAGTGCCTCATGACACGAAATCGTCTTCTCGCCGTTTACCAATTTCCAGACTTAGAGAAGACAGGAGTATAATACCATGTTGCTTGCTTCGAAACGTCTGGTGAACTTGTAGAATGTCTGGGACAAAGACTTGGCGAGAATCGAACATGTGGTCTCAGTTCGCGCGGGCTGTTGCGCGATTGTCGCGAGTGGAAAGGGGGAATCGCATCATCAAAGGGTTGATGGTGGATCAGGCTGAGGCTCGTGAATACGAAGCTGAGCAAGGGCTGGAGCCATGTTTGATGCATGCGTGATGCATTCTGTGTCCGTGTTGTTCCAGAATACTGCAAACATTCATCAGCATATGTCAAGCTTCATCGATGTTATCCCTGATCGCCTTCGCAGCACCCTTGGACGATAGTCTTCTTTAGTCAGACCATATACAAGGAAGTCGGTTGTTTCTTCTTGATCGATTGGGCGAAGGGCCAAGCCGGCCAGCTGCAGAACACCCGAACCTCGTCGGTGAAATACTAGCATACCGTCATCAATAGCCTGAGTATGCAGTGCCATTCATATTCATCTCCATGGTACCCTCTAGAGACACCCCTAGCCAGACCTTCGTTTCAGGGTCCCATCATACCTTTGGGTTAGGAGCCATCTCAAATTCCCAATCAGGACGAGCTGCTGTTGACCAGACAGAAACACTGTATAGGAATTTCACGAAGCAGTGGGGAACAGTGGTACTTAGTAGCTGAAATCTATCATCTTGGAGGTTTCTCGTGATTTATGCTCTCACCTCCTGCAAGCGGCAGTGCGTCACGGCTCAGTCATCATCCTCATTGCGGGTCAATACTCATGTAGCGCCCCTGTTGTCCCGACATCAGGAGATCCCCACCTCGTTCACCTTCCGTCTCGAGGACGACTTCGCCAAGGAAATTAAGCAATCGGCCAGTATGCGCCCAGAGGAGCCGAGGAAGGATTTTTGAGAACTCCTATGGATAGTATGTGACGAGATCATGATACCCATCGTCAACGTCTCTGAGCATGAGCTCAAATTGCGCCGCCGGTCTCGGATATGGTTGTGCCCGACTATAGACTTCATGCCCACTCTCCACGCAGCTGACTTTTTTCGGATGAATGCAGATTGCTCTGGGCCAGAATACTGCTTACAGGATCTCTACTCATCTGCTCATACGCTTCGACACTTTCGGCTCCGGTCAGAGCTCAGCAGGCGATGAAGAGGCATGTGCGCCTTTTTCGTGGCGATCGGACAGGGTCACATTTATGGCAACGCAGCCACACGACCAGGTGTACTACATAGAAGCTTTGCAACAGAACACCTGGGTTGGGTGTACCTCGCTTGTCATTGCAAACAGGACCACGAGCATTCCTACAATTTCCATTTTGCCATGAGAGACACCTCTCACGCTGCTTAATATCGTACAGAAAGACATTTCGACGCCGAGTTCGTGTTTCTTGTCGGCGATGAGAAGACGCCCCGACAAAGTCATCCATCTCGCAGCTGGCCTGCAGTTTTTTGGGCTCAAGAGCGTCATTGGGTGGTCGACGACGCAAAACACCTTTCCACGGGAACATGTTCGAGGATGGTGGTGTCATTGATTATACGAAGTACTTGACCACGCTACGAAGAAGAAGGCGCTGCTCGAGCAGGGCATCGATTGATTTCATATTGCATAGTTTGTATTTACCTTCATCTGGTACAAGTCGTTGATCTTGGATTCTCTTTTCATCCCGTCAGTTGTCCCTATTGTAAGACTCGCTTAATACCGCATTGTGTCTTCGATCACACGTACGGTACCATCATATAAGAGTGTTTGCGACCTCAAAGTTTATTCATTACCACGCATTTGAAGTATGCTCTTCATACACTGCGTAGGGAGGATACGCTCCACTCTACCGCTCAAGAGACACGCCGAGCACTTCAAGCTATGCATGGTTAATGCGCATTATGAAATTGTCAGAAATTCCTAATTTAGATTTCAACGCCTTGTAAGGCATTTCAAGGTTCAAAGGCAAAATGGCCTTTGAAATGGGTTTAAATAATAGAGTCGTACTTAAAATTGCCATAGAAATGTAGTTAAAATGGCATTGCAACAGATTGCAACGGGCCTTGCAATGGTACGGCACGTTGCAATTTGGTTGCCATATTATTGCAATATATTAAATTCCTTGCAAATTCGTTTCAAGAATACCTCATTGCAACCACTTTTGGAAATTTGCGACAAAAGGCGTACAAAACTCTACCTACGTAGGAGGATCGATGTTGACGTTGATGAGTAAACATTTTGCTGCTCACAGATGTACATACATCGAAGAATGTCTCCATAAGCAAGGAATGTCAGGATGCAACGGAGATCTTCAGCAAGAGACAGAAACTAGTGCTTCATTTCCTTCTTATCCTCTACCGAGATTCATTCATCCTTTCTTCTCACTCGAAAGCATTTCAATCTCGATACAAGCCGAGGCAAGGCAGTTCCGCCAGCGAGTTTCTCCGAGATACATTATCAAGAACTCCGACGACACTTCAAAACAGTCATCATTGGTGGTCTATGGAAACTCTAAGGGCACAAGCACATCAAGTGTTCTCAAACATATTGCACAAATCTCGAGACGAAAAAAATCTATACCGCGCAGCGTGACTCGTGCTCACAGATATCCCTTCAAGTCCTCCCCCTGGGGTGTCTCCCCAACCAAAAACAACATATGCTCCACCACCTCCTCAGGCGTCGTCACATGCCAACTTGCAAGCGTTCGCTTGCTGCTATGTCCAACGGCAGTAGTGAACACACCTTCGGGAGACACCGCGAGCTCGACGTCGCTGTGCTCCTTCGTGTTGTCAACGAGCGTCACAGACAGCGGGGGCTCCATCGTCGCTTTGCCGATGGAGGAAGGGGGGAAGAGAAGTAAAGCGCGGAACATGTCTTCGTCGGTCTGCTGGAGGGTGAGCGAGTGAGGAAGATGGGGAAGAATGAAACAGACCTTGTCGTCACCAGCACAAAAGATGAACTCGACTCCAGGGTTCTGGTATAATATACGCTTGACGATCTCCCCCTTGCATGGACTGTCAGTCTGCATGTATATCAAAGACCACGCGCACAGACCTTGTTCACGGCGATAGGCCTCACTTCTAAATTCTTTTTACCTACGAGCACCTCGATCGGCCTCTTGGGCACCACGTTATTCTCCAATAAATCTTGGCATTGTCTACACTGGAACTGTCTATAACCCAGCACTCATCAGCTTCACTCAACAAAAACAAAAACAAACACACGCACCCCCACTCGGGATCAGTCGACCGATAATGCCATGTAATCGAGCTCTTCTTCATCTCGATATGGCTCCCAGTCGTGCGCTCCGTATAATACCTGAAAATCTCCGCTACTTCCTCCATCCAACTCATATCCAGACTGGCAGTGAAATTCATCCACACGGCGCTGTCAGGCGAACGGATAAATCCGCCGTGCTCTGCGCTCATCCCGAGACGCGGGAGATGGCCAAGGTGTTCCTCGAGGAACGCTTGGTCACGGCCGGATACGATATATACGATGTTGTTAGGGTCGGATGAAAGTTTCGCGAGGGCTGTGAGCGCATCAGGAGAAGGAAGCGCCATCGACGGCATCTTGACGATCGGCGTGAGCGTGCCCTATCCGTCAAAAGTCAACGACGACGAGCACCGTATCCCCTATCCATCACTCACGTCGTAATCAAACAAGAACAAACGCTTCCCGGCGTTATCATACAGCTCCTTGAGATTATCTCTAGGGATGTAAGGCGTTTGACGTGCAGTGTTCTGTGCGTTGATCTGTGAGAGCAGCATCTTGGCAAGGACCGCAGCCCACGTGTGTGAGGTGTGAGTCGTTACGACCGAGTGCAACGCCGCGTGCCTCGAAGCTTTCTCATCCTCAGACATGACCAACCCGCGGTTCATCGCAGCTGCTACATCCTACTCACCACATATCCGTCAATCACATCACACAAAGACGGCAGATACTACGCACCCCGAGATCCCAAGGGTTCACCTGAAGTGCATCAGCCATGTGCTGGCTAATACCCATAAACTCGCTCAACACGAGGGGCGAGCGCTTCGTGCGCTCTTGTGCGATTACGAACTCCATCGAGGTCGTGTTCATCCCGTCCCTGAGGGGCGTGATTACTCCGAGGTCTGCAGCGCTCAGCAACGCGTAGAATTCGTCCTTTCTGAGGGTTTGGTGGCTGTTGGAGTCATAACAGAGGCGATGTGTGGAAGGAAAGGGCGAAGGTAAATCATGAGACACGTGAAGCCGTGATAAAAGTGCACGCACTAGTGGTGTACGGGTATAAAGTCCAAACTCCCATACTCCCCATTGATATGCGCGACGAGCTCCGAGACTTGACGCTCAAGCTTTGGGGAATCTGTTAATGCAGGTGACGTCACCTGCAAACAGCGTTTACCATTCATTACTATCTGGGTGTTGTATTCGGATGACATGACACACCTGAATAAGTACGACCTTGCGCTGCCACTCTGGGTAATCATGCAAGAGCTTCTCAAACGCGCGGAGCTGATGTTATACGTTTGGACAATGGTACAAGAAACAACCAATCAATGAGCGACGATACAACCATGTGAGAAAGAACAATCACCTTTTGCAAGACCCCCTTGACGACATCCAACTTGTCCCTTCCTACGATGATCTTCTTGTCTGCGTAGAGCGCGCGGAGGGCGTCGAGTTTCGGTTGGACGCCTGGGCGGAGGCTGGTTGCGTGCATACGTACGTGCCCATGAGTACCCCTAATAAAAAAGACCCAAATAAAAAACTGACGTATCCTTCGCAACCCTCTCTGCGTCAACCCCCACCGGACAATGCGTAACAGCAGCTACATGTCCCTGTACATCAATACCGACATATTTCTCAACGCCTGCTCCGCCTTTCACGCTTGTTCCACGGCGCGTGAGGCTCGTTCCACGGGTGGATCCAACCCCAGTTCCAGTCGCACTACGGGGAACAACGCTCGCACCCCGGGATGCACTAGTAGATGTAGCCGTAGCACCCTTACTAGTAGTTTCATACCCGCACACGCGAACGCAGGTGGAGGTGAAGTGACGGGTGTAGCTGTAGGTTTGGAAGCAGATGAGGTTAGCGCCTAGCATTCCGTCGAGAATTTCTTTGCGACCTGGGCAGAGTTGGTTAGTTGTTCGAGGGGGGGAGGAGGAGAGACGTACGTGGTAAACACCTAAACACCTCTGAGCTAGGGAAAGGGGTGTGTACGAATAGACCGATGATGCTGTGGTATGTGTCAGTAGTGGTGCCCTCCTCGTTTGTGAGGAAAGACGCACACGTCTCCGCCATTCTCCCCACCCACGCCGCTCACAGCGCCAGAATGCATTGCATTTCTGAGCATGCGAGGGACTAGAAGGAGATGGTAGTCATGGACCCAGACGAGGTCGCCCGGTCTGAGGACGCTGGCGAGGCGGTTTGCGAATGCTTGATTGGCCTTTTGGTGGAGTGTTGAATGCGATGAGAAGATTAGATGAACCAACAGAACGCACCTGCTCATAATATTCATAGTTAGCATCAGCGCTGGCATGCTCTGTTGCTACGTCCTGCCAGAGGAGGTAATGGAAGAGGGGCCATAGAGCTGGGTGGGTGTTAGCAACGGTTAATGAGGTTCCCCGGGCCGGTAGTAATAAGAAGCAAGATGGGAGGTCGAAGGAGAAAATGAAAGAGATTGGACGAGATGGGTAAGTATTAAGTGCGATCAAAGTTCCGAGGCCGGTGCATCCGAAGAAACGAAAGATAAGGACCAAAGAAGGAATCAAGTATGAAAAGCGAGTGAGAAGGGCCAAAAGTAGATGATGAAGGTAGATCAAGAGGAGGTATTCCTGATATGGACTGACTTTGTTTACAATAACCATCGTAATGACCGTGTGCGACGTTATCCTCCATCCAGAGCGGAAGATGAGTAATTGGCTTGCTGGTTTCAGGTTCGAGTGCGTTCTTGTCGGTATAATGAGCGAGCTCGACGTCGAGTGCATCCTTGTCCTCTTGAGAAATGCGAGAAGATGGAATACGATCTCGAACGGAAGGGATACGTTCACCAGTGGATGGATTGACGTCAGCTATGGAGAGGTCAGTGTTATGATGATGAGTGAAAGTGGAGTGAATGACCATCATTGCCATCGGATGGACCTGCAGGTGATAGAATGTCGCCTGTCCATCCAAGAATGAGTTGTTCGTGTGTGAGGCTGAGACTACGAATGCCGCTCGTCATTGCGCTGTGTCCGTAGCGTGGAGCGAGTTTCCAACGCTCAGGTTGAGTGGGAAGAGAGATTTGAGGAACCTCATCGGATGGGCTTGGTGGTACGTCTGAAAGGATACGTGGAGGTGTAGGAGGTGGACTGAGTATGCCATCTCTTGTAGTAGTTGAAGTGATTGTGCAAGTTACAGGAAGATAATGGCAGACATGAATGATGCGGCCTGATAATTGAACGCCGTTGGCTTTGTGTCGTGCTTCGAGAGTTCTAACATGATCTCTAACTGAATCAAGTGAAATGTCGTCTCCTGCGCGTGTGTATGGTTCTGCGAATGTATCCATGATTGAAAGACTGTAATGCCATGAGCCAGGTTTATATAGCCTATTGATAAGTAAATCGGATCGTCTGGTTTTTCATGCATCCATGCTCAATTTGGTTCATTCCGTCACTCACTCCATCAAATCTACGCTGGCACTCATATAGCACTACGATCGTCACGGCCTGGCCACTCACCTCACAGATATTACCATGCGCCATCATCATCCTCCACATCGAGCACACCTGCGGAATCTCTCACGCTCAACTCAAACTTCATCGGAATCCCGCGTTTGACACGAACGGCCGGTCAGACCTTACGAACAAAGTCGAACATCGCACGTCAAAATATCGATGCAAACGTTCGTCAGAGCACCGGGTATTGGATGGAATGTCGTTAGCAACGAGTACGCACGTCGCCCGCCGCCCGGGGACCACGCGTCGTCTGTCTACCCTTTCGATGGTCGTTTTCCACCAACATTGGCCCGTTTACCCCCCGTAGCGCTATGACGATCACAGCTACGCCTGCACGTCATCGTCTGCTCCACTAGGTGTTGTCCCGATCCACCACGAGCTATTTATAGATACTTCATGCCCTCTTCTTTATGACCGGGTTTCTCGCGGAATACCTCTTTATCGAACAATCACTCAACGAGCTATACTTTATCCATCATCCACATCCATCACTAGTCTCCTATCACATCGCTGTCTATCTGCAACTCACCACCCTCTTTCCGACCTCTAGAATCTACATCCTTTGCATTCGATGCGGAGTACCTCATGGTGGCCTTGCCCAACTTGAATCAGCAATTGCTCGACCCATGGATCATGCACATGGGCTATCCTTCCTCGATGTGATGCTCGTTGTGTCACATCGTATTCCGCGCGCCTCTCGTTCCTGAATTTGGCTCAATCTTTCACTTTGAAATTATTCATACCATACCATACTATCTTCGGCTTCGCGGATCCACCAACGGTGCATTTCAGATGGAAAAGATCAGCTATGTACGTTATTCGTGACCCTCTAAACCAACTATGAATATACTAGTGTCACATAGAACGTCTTCCATGCCAAGGTTCAACCGACGCGGTAGTGGCCAAATCAAGGAAGGTTTAGGCCTCACGGTTCGCGTAAAGAGGACGGCTGACAATAACAATGACATCCTAGAATTGTCTAGGCCTACATTCCACTACTAGTGCATTCCACTAACACCGTTTTCCCAGGTCAATTGTTACATAAAGAAGAATAGTGACGGAAGATCAATCCTGAAGTGTGCTTCCAAGCAGTACGGCGCTTCGTATGAGTCGATGTTCAAACTACTGGAAAAACTCATGGATGACCTTTATCGTGGACCGAAGCTCAATATTTGGCAAGCCTCAAGCTTCAAACTTCAAGTTTTGAATACTAATCGAAATTCACGCAGGGCGGAGTCAGCTTAGTCTCCGAGTCGGAATTCTTTGTGCTATTGCCTTGTTTATCTCCAGTGTTATTTCTTCCATTTGGATCGCAGATAATAATATACACAACCTCGATACTAGGTATAAAAACAGTCGCCTTGGCCTCTGTTCTTCAATCGTTTTCTGCCCTCGACTACAAGTGCTTAGCTTCCCCATATTCACAATGCAGTTCACTCTCCTCGCATCCCTCGCTATTGTTTGCGGCGTTGCTTTCGCTGCCCCGTTTACTATGAGCCCTGGCGAGCTGGTCGGTGATGCTGTCAATAACGTCGGCTCCACGCTTCAGTTTGCTGGTGCACCGCGTGGTGATCTGTCGGGCGCACTAGAAAGGGGCTGGCTATGGTGTGGGTAAGACACTACACGCTGCAGCCAATGGTATGACATTTCCTCCAGCTCACAGTTCTCCGCTAAAGGTTTTTCAGACCTCAATCTTAATCATATTCTCAAGCGAGATGATGCTTTGATTAAAGTTATCGCGGCTGGTATGACATTTCCTTCAGCTCACAGTTTGCCGCTGAAGGTTTTCCAGATGTCCAGGACCATGTTATCACACCTAGGAAGAGTGATTCCATCTCCAATGATATCGACGACTCCAATTTGTGAGCTCGACAGGAGCGCAAGTTCAGTTAGTATTGGGCCTCATACTTATTCTTGCTCCGGATTCACATTCTTTGTCACCCACCCAACTCTCCCTTTTCTCTGATATCCTGTTTCAGATATTTGGATTCTTATTGCGTTCACTTTCATACGCTTTTCATAGCCATGTGGAACCTCGCCAGGGAAATGGCGGGGAACACTAAACGGATCGGGCGAAGTAACAGGACGAAACTGTGTATTTCTAGAACGTTATATGGAAGAGCAGATGATGGTAGGTAGGAGACCCGAGTCTGGCGTGAAGTGATACAAATGGGCGTTTTATATATGGGGAAAGTCCACGTGATGTGATACGGTAAGCATGTGATAAGCGTCCCAGCTTACACCCTCTCATTCTCCGAAGAATTTGCTGTGACGTACGTCCGATGTTTGTTGGTGAGCGTCTTCTGAGACGTTTGATTTTCTGCTGGTGCGTTCTGAGGTGCGTCTTCTGGTTTCTTCTGCGTACGTTGTTTCATCGGTTATTTTCGTCAGACCTCTTGTTGTCGTATTCTTCTAGGACGCAGCTTCCTTCTAACTCTTGTCCAGGCACCCAAACATCCGCTTCTGGACCGTAACCGCGCCAACGGATGAGGTACTGGCGTCCGCGTCCGCGTGTTCTTTTGTCGATGATACTTTCTATCTCCCATTCCTCAGTCCCTGTCGTCGTGACAATCGGTCCTGGACGCTGAAGTTCCCGTGAAGGGAAGAGCTCCGCGTTGTTTGGTACATGACGCTTGAGCTCTGAGACATGGAAGGTGGGATAAACGTTAGTGTGTTCTGGCAAATCCAGTGTATAAGTAGACGACTCAGGGTTCGCAGATACTATGGTATAGGGTCCGTCGAACCGAGGCATGAATTTGGCCACCCGTTTATTGTCGCCATTGAGATATTCGCGTCGGCGGTGAGCCGTTGACAGATATACGGGGTCGCCGACATTGAACGAAGGTTCGTCACCTCTGTGTGTGTTTGCTGCGTGCGCTTGTTGTATCTTCGAAGCCAGTAGAGCGTCATGTGCATCGGCGATGTCCGTTTTGAGGGACATGATTGCCTCAAGGGCGTTCGTGACGTCTGTTGGGAACTCTTCGCGCACTGTCCGTACTCCTTCTGGCGTCAGTGGCGGTAACAGGCGCGGTGTTCTTCCGAGGTGTAGATGAAAGTGGGTGTAGCCGGTTGAGGCGTTGGTTGTCGACATAATGTTGAATCTGACGCGCGGGAGTGCATTTACCCATCCAGTCTGATGTCGGTCTACAAAGTATCTGAGGGCTTGATCCACTGTCTTATTAGTACGCTCGCTTGCTCCGTCAGTCTGCGGGTGATATGCAGTTGACATTTTTAACTTTACCCCAGTTAGGCGGTGGAGCGCCTTCCAGAACTTACTCGTGAATAATTTGTCACGGTCGGACACTATATTCAATGGGAGGCCATTTTCGCAGTACCAGTGATTGAAGAATAGGTTTGCAACCTCGCGAGCTTTCATGTTCATTCTGCAGGGGACCAGTCGTATATCCGCGCCCAGACGATCGGTGATAGTCATGATCCCATCATACCCCTGTTCGGTGGGCAGAGGACCTATGAAGTCAATGGCGATCGATTCCCCTCGACCGTCCGGCACAGGCAGGGGATGTAAGGGTCCGGCGGGTCGTGTCGTTCGACTCTTGTTCCTGGCGCAATCAGGGCAGCCTGGTATGTAGCTTTCTTCGAGGTCCCGTCTCATGTTTGGCCAGTAGAATGAGTCGCGTATAGCCGCATAGGACTTGTCCGCCCCGAAGTGGCCCAATTGGTCGTGCGCGAGGCGGAATATCGTCTCCCGCAGGTGTGTCACACGGGGCACGATCAATCGGTCGTTGAGATATAGTAGACCATCACGGCGCTGTAGACCTGGCAAGGAGTCAACAAGTTTGGTGAGTTTAACGCACCAAGGGTCCTCTAGGTATCCTGTCTTGACGTCCTTCAGCAACGAGGCGTCTGGCGTCACGGACAGGACTAGAGCCAATGGTTTGATGCGATCACCGATGGCAGCAGGCATGTGTGTCGTTTGTCGCACATATAAAGGTGTCTTGTCGTCTGGGGGCAGCCGTGATAGTGCATCTGCGACCGTGTTGTCCTCCCCGCGGATATATTGGATGTTGAAATCGTATTGTCCGAAGAATTCTTGCCATCTCGCTTGTCGTCGCGACAATTCCCGCTGTGTCATGAAGTTTTCCAGAGTTCTGTGGTCTGTGTACACTGTAAAAGGTGTTCCTAGCAACTCGATGCGCCATTTCTTGAGCGCACGAACGATGGCCAACAGTTCCTTTTCGTGTACCGGGTAGTTCAATTGGGCTTCGCGCAATTGCATCGAATCGAATGCCACAGGCCGAGCCGTTTGGGGTGTAGGTCCGACACTCAGCATCGCACCTGTTCGCCAGTCGCTGGCGTCACATGTCACGAAGATCTTGTTTTCTCCAAGGTTATCGTGATCGATGGTGGTGAGGCAATCACGACTAATTACCAGTCGTTTGATGGCGTCGAAAGCTTCTTGGTGCCCTTCGGACCAGCCGGGCCACTCGAGCTCGCTTGATTTCGTTGTCAGTGGCGTCAAAAGTCGAGTATAGTCTGCAAGGTGTGGTAGGAACTGGTCCAGGTACCTGACGAGCCCCAAGAAAGACCTGACATCGTTTGTAGATTTTGGTACCGGCCAGTCGAGAATACGTTTTGCCTTTGAAGCATCTGCTTCGATCCCAGACGCTGATATGCGGTGTCCCAGGAAGTCGATCTCGGTACAGAACAAGGCGGTCTTCTTTGGTGAGCAGAATAGACTTGCTTTCCGTAACGCGTCCAGGACAAGCCTCACGTTGTGTACATGTTCCGCGACCGTCTGAGACCAAATGATGATGTCATCGAGGTAAGCGTGACAGATTTTTCCGATGAGTCCTTTCAGCGCGATGAACATCCTCTGTTGGTGGGTCGCAGGGGCATTCCTTCCGCCTTGTGGCATTACGGTCCACTCGTGAAGACCTCTAGGTGTATCGATAGCCGTGTATTTGATGTCATCGGGGTGTATACGCGTCTGAAAAAACGAGTTTGTCATGTCAATTTTTCCAAATATTTCACATAGTACAGTAACTTATACCCGTATTAGACGGACAGCTGAGGGTGACAATGTAGCAATAGAGGCGGGCCAGCCCATGTGGGCCCATGGCAACAATTGTACCATGGTAGACGAGTGGGCTGCAGGGTTGTGTGTACCTGTTGCAAACGGATGGGCCGGTGGTATATAGTGTAGATGGTAGTATAGGAATGTACTATATAGGATATCTATGTAAATAGTAGTGAATGCAATGAGCTATAGAGACAAGTGGGCCGGCTGAATGGTGTGCAATGTAAATGAGTGGGCCAGGGAGATGGGTATGATGGGGACGAGTGGGCCGGGGGTATGAAGTGCAATGGAGACGGGTGGGCCGGTATGCAAAGTACAATAGAGACGGGTGGGCTGGGATGAGAAGTACAATTGAAGACGAGTGGGCTGGGGGTATGGGGTGCAATGGAGACGGGTGGGCCGGTATGTGAAGTACAATAGAGACGAGTGGGCCGGGGGTAAGGGTGTAATGGAGACGAGTGGGCCGGTATTTGAAGCACAATGGAAGACGAGTGGGCCGGGGGTACCGGGTGAAATGGAGACAGGTGGGCCTCATGATATTCCACCCGGTGGATAATGGAAATATTTGCCGGTATGGATGATACAGATGAGCCGGAAGAGTGTTGTGGGACAGAGGTGAAGGTGAGATGGATGATACAGATGAGCCGGAAGAGTGTTGTGGGACAGAGGTGAAGGTGAGATGGATGATACAGATGAGCCGGACTTCCGGTGTGCGAGAGGTGAAGGCGAGATGGATGATACAGATGAGCCGGACTTCCGGTGTGCGAGAGGTGAAGGTGAGATGGATGATACAGATGAGCCGGACTTCCGGTGTGCGAGAGGTGAAGGTGAAATGTATGATACAGATGAGCCGGACGTCGGCTGTCCGATTGAGGTGAAGGTGAAATGGATGATACAGATGTGCCGGACCTCCGGTGTGCAAGAGGTGAAGGCGAGATGGATAATACAGATGAGCCAGATGTCCGCTGTGTGATTGAGTGAAATGGATGATACACATGAGCCGGAAGGGCGTTGTGTGATATACAATGATGGAAATACCATCCAGTATAGCAACATTCTCACTACTAAAATGCAGGTTGTGCGATTATATGATGCATTGTCTTCAACATTGAAAGCACCAGAGCTTGACAACACAATGTAGACAACTAGTACATACGAAAACATGAATGATATAGACTAGTATTATGTCGGCCCGTCACCGGAAGGCTTGCTTGGATACCTAGCACTCACTGACCGACCTTGGTGCGATAGAGGTCCAAAGCGCGGGCGTGGCAAAGGAGCTGAGACGGACTGGGCATCAGCCGGCACATTTGATGGCCCGGCGACCGGGAGAATAGGAGATTGCACAGGTGGTGCACCAACCGGAGGAACAGATGGGCCGGATTCCCTCATGGTCAGTGAAGGGATGATGGTGGAATTGGATGGCACCCGGTTGTGCCTTGCGACCGGTGATCCATCTGCAGTATCACCCAACATATCACCACCGGTCTGGGCACCCATCCAAGAGACATCCGGAGTGAACACATTGTTGGTCACAGTGCGAGCAAATGCACTGATAGATGGGTCATGGGCTGTCATGGGGGGTGGATTAAATGCCGGTGGAGTTGATGCTGTGACCTGAGTAGATCTTTGCTCCCTCAGATACCTGACAATACCTCTTACTTCAGCCGTGCACTCAGCAAGGAGTCCCTTCTGCACACGCATATCCCGCCCTATGTCATCAATCTGCATGGACATGGCGCTATCAGATGCCTCGGCGATGTCCATGCGATTCTCCAAGTGATCATGCCGGACGTCAATTTCCATTCGATCGTGTGTGCGCAGTTCCTCCATCTCGATGCGAATTTGGGCCAACATGGCCTCCATCTCATCATGAGAGAGAGGGTATTGGGCGGAATGACCAGGTCTGGAAGGAGAGACAGGAGAGGGATGGTTGAAAACGACCGGTAACGGCGAGAACCGGATATTGTCCTCCGAGGCCATGGCCGGTGATGAAGGTGGCATCTCATCATTGCCGGGCTCCACCCAATGATCAGGAGGGAAATCGTGTGCGGATGCCAAAGGGGCCGGTTGTTGTGCAGAACCGCCGGCAGCAACCATCTGGACATCATCGACGTTGTCCTCCTCTTCGATAGGACTTGGGTGCCGGATATCCTTGCCTACAAGAATACATCAGAATGGACAAGTAACCGGAAACAAAAGACTTGCCTTTCGCCTTGGATTTCCCACTCATCTTCTCTCCGGTGGCTTTGGACCGGATGGTCTTGGAGCGAGTGGCTACTGCGACTGCAGGTGGTGCAGTGACGGTGATGGGGGTAATGGTGTTGGCAGAGGTGGTGGGTGCGCTCTCTGTGTTAGTCCGGATGCATGCCATCTTCCACAGATAGCACAATGAGCAAGTCGAGGCGATCTCGCCTTTCTTCGTCAATCGGGGGAAACACTCGACATTCTTGGCCAGACATCTATCACAAGGCGGATGGGGTTCATCAACGCGGGGCTATGGAGAATTAGTATGGTGAAGCATGGCATTGACCGGAAGACACACTGGTTCTGGCACTTTGCCCTTGCTGGTGGCCTTGCCCTTGGGCTGCATGGACTATTCAATAATGTTAGCGTTGTATATCACCTGTGCTATGACAAGCAAATCCTACCAGTTTTTGCCGTTTCCCTGGTCTGACAGTGGCCTGCATCGTGATGAGTGATAGACCGGTAAATGTGAAGTAAAATAATGAACTTGCCTTTGGCCTGCCTTGTGTATCATCATCCTCATCCTCCAATTCATCCTCTTCATCGTCCTGAATCACAACCCGCTGACTTGCCTTCGACGCACTGCCCTTCTTTTTGACAACGATGACAGCCTGACGAGTTGATTTCCGGGGCTGCTTGTTGCATTAGTAACGTTGAATATCTCAAGAAACAAACACACCTCAACGTCCAGAAGATCATCCACATCGATCCCCTCGCCATCCTCATCGCCATGATCTTCCGGTGCCTTTGCCTTCCCTTTCCCCTTCTCCTTCCCCTTCCCCTTCCCCTTTGCCTTTGCCTTGTCATTGTCGGTAGTGTCAGTGTCAGACAAAATTGCCTTCGACTTTGGTGCAGGCTTCCGGGCCCGGTTGACACGGGGCAAAGGGGGGCTGCTGAGCCGGTGTTTCCGGTTTGTTGATGTCCCGGCTGTTGCTGTCCCACCGGGTGGCACATCTTTAGGTATGCGAATGCTGATGCGTGGTGCCGGTGTCGGTGCAGAGGCCGGTGCCGGTACTGGAACAGGTACCGGTGGTGGGGCAGGTACCGGTGGTGGGGCAGGTACCGGTGCAGGAGTAGGTACCGGTGCAGGTGCAGGTGCAGATGCAGGAGCTAGTGCAGTCACAGGTGTGAGTACAGGTTGCATGAGGAGGAATATCCTTACCAGTAGCTGCAGGTGAAGCAGGCGGTGCATGACCCAATGTCTTACTGTACAATGGATGCTTCATGCACATATCCTGATTGTTACCAAGATGGTTCCAATCCGGTACTACCACCAATTGTGAGGTGCGCCTCTGAGCGCGAAAGATCTCAGCTGCAAGTGACAGCAGGCCAGGGGGAACATATGAAGCGTCCCTCCCATATGAACGAATCGCGACATTCTGGGACCCTAGTATCAATACAGGCAACCGACAGGACGACAAACATACCACTTCACGAGCAATCTCGTGGCTCAACTCCATTTTCTCATCCTGAGACTGCGACCGGAGAACATCTTGAACCATGTCATCGAGCCGGGCGACAAGAGCGATGAGAGCCTGGTTGGCAGCCGCAGCAGAAGCAGATTGAGAAGACATGATAGTGAGACGATTACAATAGAGCTAGTGGACAAGTCACCCGGAAGAGACGTGTAAAACAACAACACTTATAAAATTTTCAATCACCGGCTAGCCGGGCCGACTCGGACATATCCGAGTCCATTGTTCGCCTCATTGTTGTCAGTCTATTTTTAGATATAAATGTCTCATTGTTGACACGTCATCAGTAATCAATTGTTGCCAACCAACCTGTGAGTACATCATCCGGTCACAGCCTTCTGTAGAACATGATTCTTCCAGTGATATCATGAAGTCCATGGATTTGTACGACCCATTCCAGAAGAAAAGAAGGATGCGATCATCGGCGATTGCTCAGCATAATCTACATGTATCTAGTGAGGATGTAGGTAAGAAACCATCACCTCCCACAACGTACCGGTTGATATTATCCGGCATCCCAGTTCATAGCATCTTGGAGCCAGGGAGAGAGGAGCGCACTTACTACAACCCTTTCATGGTTTGTTCAAGCATGGGTGAATGTGAGTTCATCTCATGCTAAGCGATGGTAAGGACAATTGATATGAATTTTAAAGATCTAGATGTCCTGTCAGCCCATGATGGGTTGCAAGACGGTAAAAGATTGAAGATGAACTCTGAACCGGCAGATGACGACCGGTCACTGGACCTGGGATTTCCTTTGTCAGATTATGACCAGATGACCGACAACCACGACCAACAACAATCAGACATGTTGGATATGCAATTTCCCACCTTGTCTGATTATGACCGGTCAAATGGTGAGATGTTGGATTTGGGATTTCCTCCACAGCCGGATGATGAAGATGTGCTTGATTTGGGCTTTGATATTGACCTCTGTGATCCGGCCGGCAACACAGGCATGTCGCTGGAATCTACATCTCATAAATTGACACTCATTTGAAACGATATTTGACTAGAAGACGGGGCTCTTGACATGGGCTTCGGCACATATCTGGCAGATGATTCGCTTGATAAAGGGACTAATATTTCACCGGAAGAACACCCTTTAGATATGGGTTTCGAGATGGATCCGGTACGTGTTGATTCGGATCAGTCTTGTAAGCCTTCTTGCTGTTCCCGAGATTGTTCTGATCATTTAAACTTAGTCGCCGTCAGTCGACAGGATCCAGTTGGATATGTAATTCAACGGGCTGTAGGTGATTTGCGCGAGGCAATGCACCGGTTGCAGATTGACCGGGCTGGTAATGCAATGTCGCCGGACGAAGCCTTTGCTAGAGAGCAAGTTCTTGACTGTACACAAGAGTTATTGTTGGCATGTCAACTGATGTCGATATCTCGACTTTCAACGTGAAGTATATATTTATAGTCAAATGCTATCTACACCTATCACTAGAATACTTGCTTACAACGATCCAAATTACTACGATTGCATATACTGAGCTTTATAAGAGGCCTTTGTACTTCTATGAGAGCGCTTTGGCTCTGGATTGGTTGTCTGTGCTTCAGATGCTTTGGCTTTCTTGCCGGAGTCCCTTCTTGGGGCAGGGGGTGTTGGTTTGTGCACCGGTGCTTTGTTAGTTTTATTCTTGGCATAGACACCTGATGTAGGGCCAAATGCACGACTTCTAGAAAGATGTTGCGAAGGCAGAGGATCATTGTCATCATTACCGGTTGATTGTGCAGAACCGGTGCTGGTGTTGTCTTCTGCCTGTCCCCTTCCACTTGCAGTCAGCTTTGATTTCTTGACTGGTGGCGGACCATCCGACTCCAAATCAGATTGAATGGGAGCAACCCTACCCCTCTTTTGGGATGATTTTAATTTAGGTGGTGGTAGGACCGGTATGGATCTCTTGACCGGTGGGCGAGTATCTTCCTCCTCTGAAGCCGGACGAGTGCTGCGGACGGTATTGGTCCGCTTGGCCTTTGAAGTTGGTTGTGGGACAGGTATGGATTTCTTGACCGGTGGGCGAGTATCTTCCTCTGAAGCTGTACTAGCCCTGCGAACGGTATTGGTCCGCTTGGCCTTTGAAGGTGGTGGTGGGACCGGTATGGATTTCTTGACCGGTTGGCGAGTATCTTCCTCCTCTGAAGCTGTACTAGCCCTGCGGACGGTATTGGTCCGTTTTGACTTTGAAGGTGGTGGTGGGACCAGTATGGATTTCTTGACCGGTGGGCGAGTATCTTCCTCCTCTGAAGCTGTACTAGCCCTGCGGACGGTATTGGTCCGTTTTGCCTTTGAAGGTGGTGGTTGGACCAGTATGGATTTCTTGACTGGTAGGCGAGTATCTTCCTCCTCTGACGCCGGACTAGTGCTGCGGACCGTATTGGCCCGTTTTGCCTTTGAAGGTGGTGGTGGGACAGGTATGGATTTCTTGACCGGTGGGCGATTGTTGATAGATTTTGACTTTGGTGGTGGTGATTGGAGGTTGTCATCGTGATAGTGATCGTCGTCCTTCTCCTCATCTTCATCATCCTTGTCCTTATCCTCACTACTAGACACCGGTTCCACCCCCCTGGTGCGCCTTCCGGTGGACTTTTTCACTGGAACCCTGGGTCTCGCATCAGAACCATTGCCAGAGATTATCTCTGCCGGTTCTCTCATTGTCTTATCATCGCCTTCCCAGCCTTTAAATTCAAAGGTTGGGCGAACCTGGTCCTTCTGTCTTTGACACCACAACTCTAACAGCCGGTCAGCATCAGCCAGCCGAATCTTTGATGGATCGTCGAGCCTCCAGCCGGTAGGTAAAAACTTGGCTGCAATAAAGTCACCCTGAGCCATCCTGACTGAGGCCCAAGGAACAGACGCCTTTGGTTGTTGGCTGCACAATCCTGAAAAATTGCTGGTCAGCAGATCAACTCTCCAGATGCATCATTTGTGAAACTGACTGTAGTGCTTTGTGAGGAAAGTCCTTATAAGACGCTTTTTGCTCTCTAGGTTAAGCTCTGTGACGTCCGGTATGACCGGCAGCCCATAGCTATCCACCTCCAAAGGATAATCGTCCTTCTTTCCACCTTTCTTCCTGCTCTTCTTCACCTCCTCTTCGTTATCATCGTCATCATTATTCAGGTCAACGTCTGGTATCACCCCAGGTCAGATAAGTACTTGACTGAATGGCGCAAGATTTTCAAACAGAAGCTCACCAAACTCTTCACCAGCATAGGCATTCCACTCCGATAACATGGACTTCCAGTCCTTCGTATCGGTATAACTATTCCCCTCCAACTTTTCATTGAAGTCAATTCTTTCAACCGGATCAGTATATCTTTACCGGTTGAGTGTGAAGCGGAACTCACCCATTGATCCGGACTTCGTCTTCCTCTGTTTTCCATGCTGACAATATGAAAATTCTCATACCGGCCTGCTTCCACAACTTTGTTGCCAGATCCTTCATCATACCGGGTGCTTTCTTCTTTGCAAAGTCCGCCTGAACAGCTGCAGGAGGAGCCTTGGCAGACCACTCAATCGCAGTGTTCTGAGCCTCCTCCAGCTCCTCTTTAGATAGACTGGCCACCACTGCAGTGAGTGTTGTCTGATATCTTTCAATAAATTTCTTCGATCCTGGCATTGCTCCGGTCTTTTCAATGATCTCCTCCTTGCGCAGTTGTTCTATGACCGACCGGGAAGTCCATTTCTGACCGAACTTGTTGGCTTTCTTTTCTCGAGTCTTTTCAGGTCTCCGGTTATATAACCAGTCCCGGTACGTCTTGATACATCATGATATAAGTCGGTCATCATGTATAAATTTAAAGTTCTACTGCTCACATATTTCCTGTTCTTCAATGACCGGTCATCCATAGCAGGGGCATGCACCTTGGCCTCTTTTATGACGGCCTTCAGAATCTTTTTTCTATCGTTGGCAGCTGCTTCCTTCCATTCTTCTAGGTGGGATTTCAAGACCAGCACCTCTTCATCGGTTAATTTCTTCTGCTTGGTCTTTTTTGGGCTATCGACTGATGAGTTGGACCGGGGCATGGCAAAGTAGTTGAGGAGCAGTGGACGTCTTGATAGAAGAAAGGATGCATGTGTATCTCACAGTAATAGGTTACATAACCGATGTACGTGACTGCAAACCGAACAAAGGATTGTCCAATACTCGTTCATTGGTATGAATCCCTCAACATCCTATGTGTTTCTGATTCATAGAATGTAGAACTGTAAAAGCATATGGACTTAGACCTGTATTATATAGTATATGGGCAGCATACAGCCCTCAAATACTGGATACCGCCCTGTGCAATCATATTCCACAACTTGCTCAAGTAAGTATAATCACAAATGACTTTGAAGGCCAGCATGAATGTGGACATTAACAGCCGGTGTCCTGAAGATCAAACCAGAAGCCTGTTTGTCTCTAGAGTTGGTTATTTGGTTTGAACTGTTCTCTCAGAGCATGTTTTGCAATGCCAGTGCCCTCGACTAAAGTTTAATCAATGTATTGACTTTGCCAGACTCGTCAATAATCTAATCGAAAGAAGTATATATTGCTGCCGAACCCTCGTAATTACCTGAATGATTGTTCTACAGCCAACAATCCAGAATGCTGGCTAGAAAGAAGTATTTAAACATTGAAATGTAACCTCCGGTCGATGTACTTTATCCAGTCAATTGTCATGTAACTTGAACATGAAATCCATGCGACTCGGGTTAATGGGAGGATTACGGTGTTTGTGATGTCATGCAACTATGGCAACCTCAGTGACTCCAACCTTAATATATCCCATACAGGTGACATTGCAAGATCTTCGGTGAGATCACAGGAACAATGTGGTAATCCCGACCGGTCAAACCATTCGGAGTCTGAACAACACCGGATCAATTGGTCCCTTGATGACTGGGTAGTTCAATGACTAAGAAGGGAAAATGTGGTAATCTCGACGGTTCAAAATCCCCGGAAACTGGAATTGATGGAAGGCACCGCAGTGAAGTCATGTGCTAGGCTACCAGTCATCAAGTTTACAGCACACCGATCCTTTCCAGTCAATATGGCAAATACCAAACAAAAGGGAATCACATACACCCCTCCTACAAAGAAACGATTACCTCAGCTGTATAAGCTCAAGGAAAAAACTACAACCAGGGGATCGAGGTCATCTTGGGTGAAAGATTCATGGGCTAGGAAAACAAAGTCGGTAACATCATCACCAATAAAATCACCCTCAAAGCATAAATCTGGGTCGCCTCACTTGCTCTATGAAGGTGCTGACTTTGAGTTTGACCAAGGTAACATCCCCCAGCCTAAATTTCCAAAATCCCAGGCAAGCAACAGTTATCTTCATTTCCCCGGTCTGACCGGACCATACAGAGTCAGAATGCATATCTCCGGCAATGGAAATGCAAGTTCAAGGACTACATAAATTCACTCATGATCAGAGAAGCCCCACCAGCCAACCGACTTTGCTCAGTCTGCAAGAAGGATGGGGTGTATAGATGTCATGGCTGTTTCAATGAGCCACTCTTTTGCACAGACTGTTGCAGAATTCAACATCAAAGACATCCATTCCATCGCATCAGTCAATGGACCGGATCATTTTTTCAAGAAACTTCACTCATTAAAGTTGGCCTGCACATTCACCTTGCTCACGACGGCACTCCATGTCCCAGCAGCACCGATGACTCATCAGACTTCTTTCAGTGGTCAGATACCGATGACAATATAGATGACGATTATCCGGAAGGACCTTTCATTCAACCGGTCAGAGACTCAGATCGTCCGGCAATAACTGTAGTAGACAAGTCCGGCGTTCACTCCCTTTCCATATGTTATTGCCAATGCCCCAGTGCTCTCAGCCGAGACATACAGCTCTTTCAAGCAGGCTTGTTTCCGGCGTCTTTCACCAGACCAAAAACTGCATTCACATTCGCTGTCTTGGACGACTTTCTGTTAGACAATCTCGAGTGCGGTACATCGGCCATGAATTACTACAGCAAAATTCGCAGACTCACCTCTAGCATCTTTCCACTGATGGTTCCGGTGAGCTGGGTTTTATTCTGTACTTCACATTCTGGTCATTAAAGAACGATATCTGTAGGATCGCTATAGAGAGCTCATGAGAGCTGCCAGGCAGTGGCGACAATGCAAGCTCTACAAGTGGCATGGATTTGCCCACAAAGATGACCAGCCAAAGGATGGTGATCTTGCCCTATTTTGTCCGGCATGTCCGCAACCGGGTATAAACTTGGACCTGTCTACCAGTACAGTCGCCCAGCCTGACGATACACCTTCCTGGCTCATGACTAGGTATTTGGTCATGGATGGCAATTTCAAAGCCGAGCACATGCATCCGGTGAATCCATCCGATGAAGTATCATTAATGGATGGTCTGGGGTTCATGGTCTCCGATGAAAGATACAAGAGCCATTTGGCCATTGCTCAAGACAATGTCCAAAGGTCGGATTGCAATAATCACCGGGCAGTAAATCAAGCAAACGCCTCGCGGCAAAGGCTGGAAGCCACCGGTATAGGAGGATGTGCATGTGCACGGCATGGATGTTTTGTCCCACATTCCATGGTTGACTTTCAGAAAGGCGAAAGGTCAGTACATATTGCATCCGGTCACATCAATGGATGATCTTACAACTCTTACGTGGAATAATCAGGCAGATGAACATGGACTATGCATTAAGTCAAGCTCTCAACTATAAGACCGACGGAATCTCTCGAGCCATCACATTCTACGACATAAATTGTCAGTATAACAAGTATTTGAAGGACCGGATCGCTTCCAGCATGTATCTTTCCATCCCCATAGGTATGGATATCATTCCTGGAATCGGTTTGTGGCATGTACATGGACATCAAGACAACTGCTTTGTCCGGTATGCATCAAATTTTATCCATGGGACCGGCCGGATAGACGGAGAGATTATGGAAACCCTCTGGGCACCTTTGAATATAATATCTCCATCGGCCAGGGGCATGGGAACTCCCCATCGCAAGGAGGTATTGGATTATCAGATGAATGATTGTAATTTCATGAAAATGATTCGTATAAGTAAGTCACCCACCTCCAGATGTGCGTGTGTTGTCGGCGCTCATACAATTCATGTCCGGATGGCACGTCCGGTAGCTAAGTTTCTGTCCAGAAAATTCAAAGAGGCCATCAAGGGGGCTTCGGAAAGCAAACTTGCTTTTGATAATCTTAACGAGACCGCCAACCCCGACATGGTAGTTCTTTGGAAGGCAGAGGAGGCATTGGCTCATGCAAACAGAGCAGAGGATCCTACGGCTATGGACATCTATGAGGTCCGGTTGGAAAGAGGCAAGTGTCCACTTTTATTGGCTGTCCGGTAGGTCTGATCATGAGGTCGTGCAGCGCCAACAAAGAAACAGCAGGAATTGCGCCTGTTGCAGGCTCAAAATCGCCCTGAACATCCGGTCATCAACCCTCCGGTCGACGAGGAGCCGCCACTTGGCTTGCAACCGGTCTTACCATAGAGGAATCGCAAATATCTCTCTGCAAGGATGTGAGAAGTTTGCGAATGCACCCAACGGACATGCAACTGTTGAGAGTGGCTCGATGCCGGGATAAGCTTCACACTCAGATCACGAGCTTTCTTGAGATGTCACCTACTTATCTCGGAGTTGGAGTCAATGTCAATGATCCGGATTGTCTGGTTACTGTTTGTAACTCACTGGATGATTGTGAAGATTACTCCGATTTTGACGAAGATCAAAATCCTGATCTGGACGTACACAATGCTTCCATATTTCAACCGGAGCTCACTGTCATACCCCTACCATCCAACATTGGTGCAGTGAGGTGCAGGGAGTTAGGTCTCACCAATCTCATCAAAGAAGAAATTGCCCTCCGAGAAGGTCAGGCCAATGACGCACTGCATGCCATTAGAGTTCATTTAGGAGATAAAGCTGTTTTATTCCGCAATACTGTCCGGTCAGCCAAGTCACAGGCTTCATCTACTAGGGCATGGACTCGAGTTCGCTCAGTTGAAACAGCAGTCAATCTCCATGCTCGTATATATTCGAAATGCCGGTCGCAACTGGCCAAACTCCCTGACCACGACCTCTTGAAGAAATACCTTCCTTTGAAGAAAGAAGACCTGAAAGCCAGCTCTGCGGTGGCCGATCCAAATGCACGTGGTCAGAGAGATACCACTCTTTCATGGTTCTGGTCCTTGGATGTTCAGGGAGACACATCAGGAAATGACTGGATGACTGAATGTGTGTCTAGTGTTTCTGATTATGAGGTCGTCGGTCACATGTTCTAATTATAGTTTACCGGGTTAATTGGCTCCGGACAAAAGCACTGCGCGATCGCTGGAATGAGGAGGTTATTCTTGTCAAACACGAAATGCAGTGGTCAATTAATTTCTTCACCCACAGAGCCAAGCAATGGCTCTGTCACATGCACAATGCTACTTCTGCAGGGCTCACCGGACATACATGTTATGCTGCCAGACAATCTCACATATATGACCTGCTGGCAGCACATGCAGAGGATGCTTTTCGGAAAATGATCGTTGGGATAGAAGTCCCAGTTCCGGGTTAGTTGCATAATTGTGATTACCGGTTGATAATATATGAACAACTAGCGGCATATGCAGAGGATGCTCTGCGGGAAATGATCGTTCGGATAGAAGTACCGGTGCCGGGTTAGTTACATAATTGTGGTCACCGGTTGATAAGACCTGTGAGGTAATATACCCTTGTGTTTGGCATGTAAATATTCCCAGTGTGCCGGTCACACCATAGCCTCATATTCCTCTCCATGGACAATACTGTAACTCTCATCCCCTCCAACCAAGTCATCATTGCCGCCAAGGGCAATCACATCACAGCTGCAGATATCTCTCGTGCCCTATTCTATGCCAATTCCCGGATGCTGGCCATGCGCCTGTATGTCGACAAGAGTTTTGCCACTGCCATACCTGGTTATGCAGAGACGTTCTACACCCTGATGAAATGGGAGATGGAGGTAGGGAGCCAGCCATGCCGATACTCCCATGCCCTCATCCTTTTCTCTGACATAGACCTTTGCAACACCTTTCATCAATATATGTTTTATCACCCGGTTGTCAGCTACTATTCCTCAACTTCTCAAGGATGTGCTCTCAACCATGACTGCTCACACATTGGTTGATCGGCGACCGGATGTCAATGCCATTTTGCAGGATATCCGGGCATTGCGCCTTTCTGCAGATTCAAACAAATCCGATGACTATGACATTGCTCACATGCCGGACTACTTCAATGACTGGTGGAAGGAATCACTTGGTTGTTGCAGGGTTTCAGATATGTTGCCCAAGTCATCTGTCCAAGATGTTATGGATTTGGTTGAATGGCACTTTTCACACCTTGTCAGTCCATAAGATCTTGTTAACACCGGATGCACCAGATGCTCACACCATTTATTACAGCCGGATCATGTGAAAACTGGTCTTCTCCCATATATTGTGCGTGGTCCGGATAATGCGCCGGATATAATTGGTTCAAGATCTGGTGTGCCGTGCCACCAGACAACGATCGGGAGAGAGTTGCTGGATATGTTGCAGACAAGGATGATGAATCTTAGGCGATCAAGTGATAGGTTGACCGGATTGGTTGGGCCGATTGATGAAATCACACGGGCTGTGTCATCCTCACAGGCACTCATTGACCGGTTACATATAGATCACAGTGCATCCACTTCACAGTAAAGTAGAACCCAATGTCCGCCGGTATCCTGCCAATCTTTTATACCATCACGTCATATTTACCTGAATGGAAATGGAGTCTGTCTATGCAATCAGGTCGTGTGAATATGGGGCTATTTTTTCCAATGGATATAACAGTGGTGCTTTCCTGTCACTTAATTGTTTCGGCAAGCCATGGTTACAATTCCACTTGACTGGGCCTTGTACCAGACCTACCTTGCCGGTGAATTGGTGCATGAGATTTTCACATCTACAATTCTTCACCGACCGGTAAAGGATATGGACCTTGGACTCTTGGATATCGACACTTGTATTGCTTTGGAGCAGCTAGCCTATGTGATGGCCACTGCTTACTCTAACGCCGGTATGTATTCCGGCACACCTGTCTGTTCTGGTCAACTAACCTGCAGAAAGTTCATCTTAAAATAGACATGGTTAGATACAATGACGCCCTGGACAAAGATGAATCCGGTCGAAGTGAGACACGAGAAGAGGTTCTTTTGAACAAATTCCCCCCTGAAGAGGAGCACCTCTTGACAACACCATCTGTTGTCATTGATTCTGGCGGTAGAATCATTGTCTGGTATTTGCCTGGAGCACTCACCTCTATGATGATGGTTGGTCCTTTATCCTTTATCCATTTCCAGTTGTTCTTTTATCTTACCCGGATGCATTACTTAGAAAGATATTCACGGTGCCACACATTCCATGAGTGGTTTGTTGAAGCATAGCATCACATCAGGCAAGATTTCTCAATGGAGGACCCACCGGTCAAACTTCTATACAAGTCCAGATGGAATGATCACCCCCGGTTGCATCAATATATCTCCTGCATGGTTTCAGCAAGGAAGAGAGGTGCGTCAGGTCCACATGCATTGAAATCTCTGGTTGGAAGTATTGTAGAAACATGGCTTCCCGAATCTTGACCCGGAAGATGGCTTCTCGCCGGAGGTATCAGCGGCACTGAAAGGTGCTGCCGGTCACAATATTACAGCATCCCTTCAAAGGTCCGGTATCGTTGTCTCTGCTGCACTTCGAGTCATGCACCCTGATCTTTATTGGGCCGGAATGGAAACTCAAGTCAGGCTTGGTAAATGGGCTGCCAGATATGAGTTGAACGAGATGCACCATCATCTTCAACGCTGGACATCCGTTTTTAATGTGGTATCGATCATATGCAATCGCCGGACACCCCCTCATAGAGATCCTAAATGTCGACCGGCAGCATTTGATATCATGACTACTGCTGGTGTTTATCGCCCGGTTATCATGGATTTCATGAACCTTGGAATCAAGTTTCTCTACGACTCTGGCTCAATATTGGCTTCATCATGTCGACTGGTGAGACATTACATGAACGTGGAAGAGGGCAACAGGATTGTCACTGCATGGTACATGCGAGACAGCATCCACAATTTTGTTGGGACTCCGAGCACGGAGTATGCAAAATATGACCGTGTAGATATTTAGCAACTCCATGTATTGGGCCACATATATTGCTTGTCAATCTCGTTTGATATCATAGACGTACTGTATGGGTATAGACCCGGATGTATATATGAGACGGACCGGATGTTTATTCCCGGTTAATATACTTTGTATGCACCGGATGAGGCATCATGCCACCCACATCATATATTCACCCTATCCCCCGGCCCACTCGTCTCCGGTTAGTATACTCTGTATGCACCAGATACCCCCTCCATCCCACAACGCTCTTCCGGCTCATCTGTATCATCCATCTCACCTGCACCTCTATCACGCAGCGGACATCCGGCTCATCTGTATCATCCATCTCGCCTTCACCTCTCGCACACCGGACGCCCGGCTCATCTGTATCATCCATCTCACCTTCACCTCTGTCCCACAACGCTCTTCCGGCTCATCTGTATCATCCATACCGGCAAATATTTCCATTGTCCACCGGGTGGAATATCATGAGGCCCACCTGTCTCCATTTCACCCGGTACCCCCGGCCCACTCGTCTTCCATTATACCCCATACCCCCGGCTCACTGTCTTCCATTATACCCCATACCCCTGGCTCACTTGTCTTCCATTGTGCTTCACATACCGGCCCACTTGTCTCCATTGCTTCACATACCGGCCCACTGTCTCCATTGCACCCTTACCCCTGGCCCACTTGTCTTCCATTATACCCCATACCCCCGGCCCACTCGTCTTCCATTGTGCTTCACATACCGGCCCACTCGTCTCCATTGCACCCTTACCCCCGGCCCACTCGTCTTCAATTGTACTTCTCATCCCAGCCCACCCGTCTCTATTGTACTTCGCATACCGGCCCACCCGTCTCCATTGCACCCCATACCCCAGCCCACTCGTCTTCAATTGTACTTCTCATCCCAGCCCACCCGTCTCTATTGTACTTTGCATACCGGCCCACCCGTCTCCATTGCACTTCATACCCCCGGCCCACTCGTCCCCATCATACCCATCTCCCTGGCCCACTCATTTACATTGCACACCATTCAGCCGGCCCACTTCGTCTCTATAGCTCATTGCATTCACTACTATTTACATAGATATCCTATATAGTACATTCCTATACTACCATCTACACTATATACCACCGGCCCATCCGTTTGCAACAGGTACACACAACCCTGCAGCCCACTCGTCTACCATGGTACAATTGTTGCCATGGGCCCACATGGGCTGGCCCGCCTCTATTGCTACATTGTCACCCTCAGCTGTCCGTCTAATACGGGTGAATTCACTGAAGGGG